ATAATTACTTCTGCCTCTTTTTGACTGATTTCTCTTTGCGTTATTGTTGAATATTTTGTGCAAAATTGAGTGTAGATGGAAGCTCTTTCACTTGGATTGTGAGTAACTGAGAGTAAACACCTGGCATTTAAATTTCACATTTTAAACAGTTGGAAAGATGTCACCCACTCAAACTGCACACACACCTTATTTGTGCTAAAATGACACTGATAAACAACAAAATGGATTTGGGGATCAAAGGTACACAGAGATTTGTTTTTAATCACTGTTGATGCATTTCAGTTAGTGAGTGTCTCCTTCAAAGAAACTCTCTTTGTGAATGAAACACCTGCAGTAAATTGAAGTCACCGCCTCACATTTGAAGTTTGTGTGTGTGTGCACATTAGTGAAACTAAAGTGTCTACTCATTATGTATTGTGGGATTTCTGATGCACAAACGTAAAAAAGAATAGTCAATGGATGACTGCAGTGTCTAAAGCCAGTTTCACACAGCCAAGTAGAAAGTTTTTCAGAATAAAGGTAATAACCAGATTAATTTCCGTCTAAGGAGGCTAAGAAAATAATTTCCCTTCACAGCATTAACATGTACGTCTCTCACACACACACACACACACACACACACACACACCATAGAATCAGTGCCGTCACCTCTTCTCTTCATTATGTCTCACCATTTAAATTCTCCTCTGTCACACCTTGTTTTACTTTTACTCCTCCACCATATCCTCCACCTCTCTCATTTAGCCTGAGATTCATTTTGCAGTTAAAAGTGTTTTCAAAGCTAAAATCCATAACCTTTTACTATCGTCCATAACTTCGGATGACATAGACTCCGACAGACTTTTGACACTGGCACTGGCCAGAAATGTGTCGCGACTCTACTCGGAGTAATGAGACTGAATAGCACAGCATAGGTGGCATGTCCAACCACAGTTAATGTGGCAGCCTTAATATCTCCACCATGCAGATGGAAGCCATCATGGAAACGTAGCGCCCACCCTCTGCTCCTCCTTCAGGCTAACACTATATTATTGTTTGCACTGTTCATGCTTTTTGCACCGTTAGCTGCTAGCTGCCGCCAAGCTGAGAGCCGTGTGGAGGAAATAAACATTCCCTGAATTCGCTATTAGAAAACCTTTTAACATTTTACAATTTTGAAATCTTTAGAAAGACACTTACACATTGCTACTGATATAATTATTGTGATTTTACTACTTCTTCACTTATGAGATATGATATTCCTTTGGTAAAAAAAACGGTCTAGCTTGTTCTAATTCTTTTATTTGGTTTTGCTATCAAACATATGCTTTTTGAATCAATTCCAGCCCATTACTGATCGTCTCAAGGGCCAACTTTCACATCCATACCAAAGTTTTGGAGCTCTTCATTCTTGTTCTTTACTTGCCCCCTACCTTTGCCTCTTGTTCTCTCATTAATAAGGCCATTTAGCTTCGTTCCATTGTGCTTCGTCAGGCCCCGGACCTGGCTTTCCAACTTCCTCCCATCAGTTATCTGGCACTGGGGAAGCTTGCTTGTTTGTGGACATTTTGTGGATGTTGTCACACTAATAGATACTAATGGGATCTATTAATGCCACCGTTGTTGTCGGGGACAGATAAGGTGACAGGACCAGAAATGTGTGCACTGCTTGGGAGGGTCTTCCCTTCAACGCAACTGCCATCCAGCATATTAATGTGTCTTTGTCCTCGGTCTCTCCATTACATGCATTGTTTGAGATGCCACTAATGAAACTCGAGGGAATCCGTTGTTTCACCACAGTCTTTGAGCAAACACTTTTTTTCACTGCCATTCATCTAAACCCACCGTTTCCACCTTTTTGTATTTATTGTCTTCATTTTTGGAGTAAACAGAAAACGCCAAGGTCAATGGAATCAATCATTACACAGTTACTTCATCTTTTCTCATTAGGCTTACTGTTGCGCAACTTAATAAAAGAAAAGGAAGTTGGATATCGGCCAGAGAAGCAGTAAAAGTAGACGAGGAAGATTCGAGGCAGTAAAAGGGACACCGAGCGTTTAATGGGCAGCTATACAGAAGCTCTCAGCCTCAACTGATGTGATTT